TTACTCAAATTTAATCTATTATGAAGAATAATTTATTATAGCCTTTTGTTATCCCAATCAGAGACCCGTGATTCACATTAATAATATCCTCAACATTTTTTTGCAACTACGCTAGAGTATTCATTCTGTCTAATCGTACAACACCATCTCTGAAATTAGCCCTATATTTGCCGCAAATTAACCATGAGCGCAGAGCTGTCTCTCTGTGCAATCTTCTGGATGGAGTAGCGACGGCGATATGCACTAGCGACGTATCCCCAGGGAAGATATGGATGATTTGTACACATCGACGCATAGCACAAGGTTCCTACCCTCCCATCATGGCCACGAAACTTCATAAAGATGTAGAGCCGCTATTAATGCTTTCGCTCGCCCACGATAACTGTATAATAACACAACGTATTTTATTAGTAGAGTAACTAATACAATGATTCAATACAAAATACAATACAGTAATACTATATAAATACAATACAATACAATAATACTCAATTACAATACAATACAATTACAAATACAATATCAATACAATCAATACATAGAGGGAGGGGGGTTATAAGGGATTAGCATATGCCACTTCTCATATAAGTCACCCCTAATACTGAATTTTAGTGTGCAGAAAATGCCATTTTCATGCACGAATTTTCAAAAATCTCCCTACCGTGGGAGGGGGTATACCCCTCCCACACCCTACCCCCCTCGGTCGCTTCGCTCTCTCGCCTTGGCCCCCCCTGTTTCCAATTGCTGGCTACGCCACTGGGTACATTGTGCGTTGTAATTAACCAGGAGCGCTTCTAGCCGGGATAGTTGTTGTTTTAGCAATGACGCGTGATGAACGGCACTATATATATATATGCGTAGCCTCATCCGTCTCCATCGCCCCGCAAGGTCCGGCCGATAATGACGAAGAACCGGTCGGATTCAAATGTCGCCGGGCAGTTTTTTGGGAATCATATATTGGGGAATCATTATTTGGGAATCATATAAATAGACACGCTCGGACAGACAGGGAGGAGTTACCTACCCAGAGGAGATACGACGATGTAGAGAGATAGACGAAAACAGAGACGACGGGACCTAGGCACGGTCACCCACCTAGGTTGCCGTATGTATATATTTTGTATGTGTTCGAGTAATTAATAAAATCAGTCTTCAATAACAATCTGCTACGATGGATCATCTCTACTCCTTGTTGCAATCCTCTACGTATTACGTACGTATCACGCTACGATGCTACGATGCCGGAGCGGAGATCAACAACCCTTTTTTACAGTACAATAATAATTATTGTACTGGGAAAAGGTTGAAGATCTCTGTGTAGGTTTCTGTAGCGTCGACCGCGTAGACTTGTAGTGTAGAGAAAACGAGATTTCTGGCTGCTGTCATATCTTCAGGCAAGGTTCCATCCCTCAGAATCTGAGCTATATGTACACATCTCTCGCTCCCGTCTTAACCGCAGAGCAGTATAGTATTTGTTTAGGCAGATAAACAACACAGCTAAAAGATGGGAATTTCATTAATCCTATGATTGCACGCGGCTCGCGTTCTATTCGCCCACGCTATCTTCTGCGCTCGGTACGACTATGACGTCGACTGTGATCGACGTCACAGCTTATCTTGTCCTATGGACCCCGCCGCTCGGCCACCCTCGGTATTTATTGTGACGCTGCCGTCTCTACGTGAGCAGTAGAGAGCAGGACCGAGAGCAGGTGAGTACTACATACATGTGTTCTTGTATATCTATTAGTCTGTCCGTGTGTGGGGTGTGGGGTGTGTGTGTGCGTGCGTGCGTGCGTCTTCGTGTGCGTGCCTCTTCGTGTGCGTGCGTCGTCGTGTGCGTGCGGGTGCCCGTGCGCGCGCGTGTGTGCGCGCGTGTGTGTGTGTGCATACTGCTCAAGCAGTGTAGCTTCGTACCGAACATAACACACGTATATGCTTTTCCGTGCAGAGATGACGTTCGAGGAAGTAAACCTTCAGAATTCGGATGCATCGCTCATTCCGGGGGAAGTGCTTTCCGTAAGCGATGCCGGAAGCGGATACGAGCGATGTGATGCAAAAATCTACATATGCGCCACCATGTGGCACGAAACAGAAGCAGAGATGGAGGAGCTGGTGGAGTCCTTGCTACGGTAAGACTAGCTCTAGTACTATAGCCGCAGCGGCAACTGTACGCGGGCTATAGTACTAGAGCTATGGTAAGACTTGAGGGACAGCCGCTGCAACATTCAGTATTAGGTTGCCGCTCATGAGATGAAACTTCGCATTCTCGCGAGAGACGATGGACGTCACTTAGAGTCCGCGAGAATAGTTGTGCGTGTGTAGACTGTATGTGTGAGTTGTAATATATAGTCAGCATTCTGATACCTTATCTGCCCCGACTCTACTAGACATTATTATATTGATTTTGTTAAACCCTTATTAACACCCTGATTGTCTGTGATTTATTACCTTAAGCAAACAGACGTACACGGACCCTGACAAGATAAGTTAACTACGTTACACGATATTTATTTGTTTGCTTTGTTGGTTTAAGATGTGATGCGGACCCGTTTGTAAATGGTTACAACTTCAACTCTAACGACAAATCCAAAGAGACGTACCAACTTAAAGGTAATTCTAGATTTACTGGTGTAAAAAAATGCTGATGGAACAAGTGACTATACTGAACACACAATATACAAATATACAACACAAAACAACACAACAAAACATAACACAACGCAACGCAACGCCACGCAATGCAGTTCAGCGCACAAAGCAACGCAAGTAAACACAATGCAACACATCACAATACTACACAACACAACACAACATAACACAACACAATGCTACAACAAACTCAACACACGCACGCACGCACGCACGCACGCACGCACACACACCACACATACACACACACACACACACACACACACACACACACACACACACACACACACACACATGGGCGTACACTGCACCTGGCGACTGCCTCGATTTTTCGATGTGAGGCTACAAGAAATGTTTGGTTGTCATGTTATCTTGTAGCTATAACTATATCTCCACCGGATACGGTGATGTCGGTGTGTATATATGCACCCCCACTTGATAAAGGTCAACGCCCTACCGGGGTTCTAAAAAATTATCAGTTATTATATATCACTTATAACAATAATCCACTTATAATAATCAGTATATCACTTATTACACGAAGCTATGTCGCATTTTCACTAGCATACGGTGCGAGTAAATCCGGAAGGGGTCCGAGACAAGATATGTCGTGATGATGTGATCCAACGCGTGAGAAAGGGCTTCTGTTTATTCTTATACTGCGTTCTAGGAATGCTTCATGTCGTATCAGTTGTTGACCACGCGATATCCTAGTTGCATGAACACACCGATTAAATCCGGGTTCGTTCTATGACAACATTGCGTTGTGACGATTTACGGTACGTCACGGGCAGCTCTATCCAATCAGCGTCGCGATGGTGGGAATTGTCGACAATATGGCGTGCACTCGCGATAAAATACGCACAAACCTGCCTAACCCGACTAAACTAACAACGATATGATTGTGGAGCGTAATTATCTCGCTTAAAAGGATGGGTTAAGGCCCTCAGTAATCCATATTTAATAAAGTCATTCTTCTTATTATTCGTTTCAGCTCATATTGTATTTGACGATGCCTTGGTGCCTGCGAAATGCGTTCCGGGACATTCTACGATTAATTGCTATGCTCAGAGTCTACTCAACGTGCTCAACCGGCTAGTGAAGTAGGTACACGTGCACAAACACGCCCCCCCCCCCCCACACACACACTACGCGCACACACACACACACGCACACACACACATACCCATACACACGCGCGCGCGCACGCGCGCGCACACACACGTACGTGTGTTACAGAACAAGTTTCCGGACATTCTCACGATTTTGTTTGCTTCCACTGATTATTTCCGTTGTGCTGCCGCCACAGACTTGATAACTTTTCAATTCTTGTGCTGAAAGTCACCCAATCACAGATACACGAACAGTGGAGCGGAACGGCGTATGGTCATTGCATCGTATGCGCGCTCTACCTAACGGCAGCACCTTGTATCTGCATCTCAAAGACAAAACTAAAGTTCGTATAGGAAACGATGGAGTCAGGTACGTGACCGCTAGTATGTCAATCCACGAAAATTAAAACGAAAACGTTTCTTCTGTGAAAAGCTATGAATCTATGTAGATAGACAGATCACGCATAGCTGTATCAACGATGAATGTTTAGTTTTTGATGAGCGTTTAACAGCGAGGGAACTTGTGCCAGAGTGCCCTAAACGCATGTTCACGCGCTCGCGTGCGATTGGATGGTTTATAAGTGCTAATGCGCACGTAATTTACTAGACAACCTGATAGATAATCTTTTGTTGCTTACGTTTTCCTACAGGTCATGTACATGCGCTACATAATATCCTCACTGCATCCTTCTGACATGTACAACGCGTACATTCTGGCCGTCGACGGCGATGTCAGCTTCCTGCCGGCTGACGTCATTCGCTTGGCTCAGGAACTGCAGACGAAACGCGAAGCAGGCGCCATCTGTGGCCGCATATATCCAACCGGCAGCGGTACGCGCCTTACTGTTTCATTTGCCAGTTCTTCCTGCGATAGGCCAGCAATTCTACTATCGATATGCTATGAATAATCTTACTACCAAAGCACATCGATGAAAAAATATGTGCTCGTTATGAACCTAGTATTATATATGGTGTACTGTTATATGAATATATATTACCAGGAGTGTATAATATGTACTATATTATACACTCCTGATATTACGATACGCATTGCAATACAATCAATCTGATCATTGCCATTGCAGGTTTAGTGCTGTGGTTCCAAGAGGTTGAGTATGCGATTTCACACTTGCTCTACAAGCCCACAGAAGCGCTAGTCGGCAACGTTCTATGTTGCCCTGGATGTTTCACCATGTACCGCGCCAGTGCCCTGAATTCTAACGGCCTCCTGACTTCCTACGCTAGCAACACTAAGAACGCCATCGAACACTTGATGCAAGATCAAGGTGCAAAATAATCGAATGGGAACCTAAACTAGAATATTGCAGCGTTTGTTTAAGCGTTTTACGTCACATCAGTTGACGTTGCCGCGACCACTGTATTGCAACACGATAGTTGCACGAAACTTAAAGCTCCACAATAACAACAACGACGACGACGACGATGACGACGACGATGACGACGACGATGACGACAACGCCGACGAGACGAAGACGACCACGACGACGACGATAACGAAGACAACGAGACGATGACGATGACGACGAGACAATGACGGCGACGACAACGACGATGACGACGACAACGACGACGACGACGATAATAATAATAATAATAATAATAATAATAATCATTTGTGCAGGAGAGGACCGATGACTGACTACATTGGTACTAAAAGCGTTATCAGACAAGTTACTGCGCAGATGCACGAGCTAATACGCATGCGCCCGAATCCCTGCCCGAGTTCTATCGTCAACGTCGGAGATGGTATCCTTCGACACTGTGTAACAACATCTTCTTACTAACACGTACGAAACCGTGGTTAACGGCGTCTATATGATTTTAGTGTTAACTTTAATATCTTTAACATTTATTATTTTACTGCTGTTGTTTTTTTAATTTTTTTATTGTAAATGTTTTTTTGGCTTCTTCATCACCTAATAGTTTACGTTGCTAATATATTTTTAATTGGTATTTAACTGAATTGTCCTATATTTCTATTGGTAATAGCATGTCTTTTTTATCTCTTTATTATCTACGCAGATTCGAGGCAATTGCTGTCGCAAAAAAGCAACATGTGGTGGTTTCTCCTGTATCAGTTGTTGCTATTGATCACCGGATTCCTGACTCCAGGAATAGTCATTGCTCTCATCGTTGAGGGAATGGTGGTCGTTCAGGAAATGGTGAGTTTGTCTACGATGCAACGTTATAAAATGCTGCAATTCTGCTTTCTTGTTGAGGAACACACGCGCGCACGCGGATTTTATCAAGCAAATTCATTAACGTTAGCTTTTTCATATACTTTTTATTTTTCTGTATCTCAAGGTATCGTGCATGTACGATTATAAGAATCACAATAAGTTATTTTTCCCCATATATAAATTAGAGTAAAACACACGGGCACAAATAGATTCAAAGCATTAAAATCAAATTTGAATATGTTGACAATTAATGTCTGAAAGTTTCTGCCTGAGGAAGAGACGTTGTCTCGAAAGCTTATTCGATGCAATAAATTCATGACTACATATTTAACTTTGATTTTAGTGATATATGTATATATATATATATATATATATATATATATATATATATATCGCATTTCTATATTTATTTTATTTATTTTGACGCCAGACTGGTATATCATCGGACATGAAAAGCGCAGTGCTGATTGCAGTTGTCGCGGCCGGTGTTCCCATCATATTTTTCATCCTCATATGTCTTTCCGGGAGTGAAAAGTGGCAGGTACGGATGACAATATACGATTATATATTATATATTATATATATTATTATTGTATTGTATTGTATTGTATTGTATTGTATTGTATTGTATTGTATTACATTGTATTATTACTCATACTAATAAATATGTTTGGTTGATTATACAGTTTCGTGCGGCGAAAGCATTAATAGCGCTCTACATCTTTCTGAGTTTCGTGGCCATGATGGGAGCGGTAGGAACCCTGTGCTATGCGTCGACTGTGACGCAATCTCCATTTCTCCTTGGGGGATACATCGCTACATGCATTATCGCCGTCCTACTCCATCCAGAAGACTTGAACAAAGAGACAGCTCTGCTCATGGTAACTTATGCGGCAAATATAGCTATTTCAGAGATGGGTGTTGTAGATTAGACAGAATGAATTACTCAGCGTGAGTTGCGAAGAAATGTTGCGGATATATTATGTGTAACAGGGCCTCTGATTGGGTAAAAAAGGCTATAATAAATTATTATTCATATAATTAAATTTGGGTAAAAAAAAATTATTTCTGAGTACGATGGCCAACCACAGACGCTGTTGTCATCGCAGTTCATCTATGTCATCGGAGTGCCCTCCTATTTTGTCGTTGCTCATCTACCCTCTGGCAAGATGGACGACATCTCTGGGGAACACGAGAGAGCCTGGTGACCGAACAACCGAAAGGTGCCCCGTTAGGAAAAACGCCACCTACCGGCCATAGGAAATGAGCTCGCTTTTTTATGTGGTAGTAAAATAATAGTAGTATGTATAGGTGTATAATTGCATTATACTACGATTATTGCCGATTCTCACCAAATTTCGAACGGCATTTCGGAATTATATGTCACCTCGTATTTAAATATTCGTTAAAAAGGTGTCCGTTCTATAGACAGGTTTCCGTTCTATGCGCGTGACCGCTGTCACAGGTCTGACTATATATGGTGTGATCTTGCGTGTTCTGCAGGTGTAGAGAGCGAGCTGAGCCGGGAGATTGCTGCAGTCTGCTTGAATCCTCTACGGCTCATGAAGAATCGAGCTGAGAACCTGTGCCGACGTCACGAGTTCAGCTTCGGTCAGCAGCAGAAGACGGATGACGTCATGTTCGGGCTCACCGATATGCGAACCGACCCGCTCGAACCGAGGAACTCTTGCTACAAGTGCAGTGCAGGTGGGCGCAGCACTACTGCCACGGCAGCCATATTTGTTTTTACCAACGGCGAATCGCCGATTTCATGTATAATTAATTGTTTAATTATAGTTAAATTATAGTTAATATTTTAATTGTTATAGTTATGATGCAGGTATAGCTGCAGCATGCGCGCGATATTGTCCTGGCAGCCATCTTTGCTTTAAGTCAAAACAGTTTGGCGCGCACGCATGAAAAACACATATAATTTGGTCTAGCATTGTAATGAAATAGACGCCCGTCGCTTGTTAGTTCATAAGCAAGATGACACCTGACTATTTCAACCTTTCACAATACAACACTGGCATTAACCGCCATAGCAACAATATCAAATTGGAACGCGGCTATATCTCTATATAGACATATAAGTCTATTCTACTAGTTACATTTTGTTGTTGATGCTTCAGAGCGAACCATCGATGCCTTTACCGGCAAACTAACGAAAACGAGGCTGCATCTTTCCGAGGAACATCTTTGGCGGACCATTGCTGCCAAATATCTGTCGCCAGAGAAAACCCAGAGGCACCACACGCATACGGTGAGCAACTTAAGTTTGACCAAGACATCTCTGATATCCATGTCATCAAGAGCTAATAATACCTAACACGTATAATGACTAGCATTTGTTTTTAACGTGGTTGTAAAATGTATTTCTCAACTCCGTATTTATTTTCCCTTTGTTTATTTTCCCTACATATATATATTCCCTTCAATCAACTCAACTCCGCATATATATTTCCCTATATTTTCAATCGGGTTGCCGAGATAGAAACCTATTTTCTCTTTACTTTCGCTCGTAGGTACGGAAACAAATGACGAGGCTGCGAAACGTAGTAATCCTGCTACTCGTTGTACTGAACGTCGCCTACATCACGCTCGTGCTCGGTTACGACATGGACCAGACGTCACACATCATGTGGTATTTCAATGGCGACACAAAAGTGTCGCCGATGTACGCGCTGTCTAGCACGATTCAGGCGGTCCTTCTCATCGTGCAGATTGTGTCCATGCTCATATACAGGCGGCAGGTTTTCGCTGCGTTGTGGAACCGTGTTGTATCTATCTCTGTGTTTCGATGGAAATTCTTTTGCCGGCAATTGTCGCGTTCAAAGATCTCCGAATGCGACGTGGTATGAAAAACAACAGGCGCGTGTGCGCATGCGTACGTGACTGCAGATGCGTTCCCAGAACGAGCCTAGCTGTGTGTGTGCGTGTACGGGTGCGTCTGTATGCGTGTACTGGTGCGTATTTGCGTGTGTGTGCGCGTGTACTGGTGCGTGTGTGCGTGTATGCGTGTGTGCGCGTGTACTGGTGCGTATGTGCGTGTGTGCGCGTGTACTGGTGCGTGTGTGCGTGTATGCGTGTGTGCGCGTGTACTGGTGCGTATGTGCGTGTGTGCGCGTGTACTGGTGCGTGTGTGCGTGTGTGCGTGTGTGCGCGTGTACTGGTGCGTATGTGCGTGTGTGCGCGTGTACTGGTGCGTGTGTGTGTATGCGTGTGTGTGCGTGTACTGGTGCGTGCGTGTGTGTGTGCGTGCGTGTGTGTGCGCGTATGCCGTTTACGTCCTAGTGCTGACCCATGTCTACCTGCATGCATATAGCTAAACGTGACTTGAATTATGTTGTGACGACAGCCCTTATACTAACATCAGTAGTAAGATAACAAGGGATTCATTTTTTATTGCATTACCGTATGATATCATCTGCATTTTTATATTGCATCGATTCGTCAGATGTGAGGAGTTCTGGTCCTACTCTAGCACATATATATATGCCCTCGCGTCCTTGCCCTTGCCTCCCCTGTCTCTCGCTTAGCCTCCTTTTTCTTCTACCGCCCCTGCTATCTTCCGGTCGCTTCCTCAGTCTCCCATCCCTCTCCCCCTCAGCAAGCTATATTATGAAGTTTGCTTCAGACGGCACTCACGCCTAACACGGTGCGCGTGCATGCGCAATATCTCTCCGCAGACGAAATCGTATTTTGCAAAGATTATGCATTTAAAATGAAGAGGAGTTATCATAGAATAGATTTAGGCGATAACATTCCATCAATAGAAATGATTTAAGAAATAGGAGGAAGACCTTGCATCTAAGGTCCCGGCTGCCTATACCAGCCAGTACACAATCTGACTACGTTAGTGTGTTAGTGCATGCGCAATATCTCACCAGAGAGTATATTTTGTGATGAATATGCATTTAAAATGGTTAGGGGGTATCTGACATAGATTTTCCATAATAAACTTTTATCAGTAGACCTGTGTTATAATTCGAGAAACGTTTTAGCATTAGGGTACAAAATACCTACTTTATTGCCCTCGCGTCTTGCCCTTGCCTCCCCTGTCTCTCGCTCAGCCTTCTTTTTCTTCTACCGCCCCAGCTATCTTCCCTGCCTCATTTCCTTAGTTTCCCATCGCCTCTCCCCCTCAGCAAGCTATATTATGAAGTTTGCCCTCAGACGGCACTGCACGCCTTAACACGGTGCGCGCGCATGCGCAATATCTTCCCGAGAGAAATTGTATTTTGCAAAGATTATGCATTTAAAATGAAGAGGAGTTTTCCTAGCATAGATTTTTTATGATAATCATTCACATCATAGACATATTAAGAAATAGGAGGAAGGCCTTGCATGTAAGGCCCCCGGCTGCGTATACCAGCCAGTAACATCTGGCTACGTTAGTGTGTTAGTGCATGCGCAATATTACACCACGAGGAGTATATTTTGTGATGAATAAGCATTAAAATGTTACGGTTATCTTTAGCATTGATGTTCCTAATAAACTTTCATCAGTACACTGTGTTTATAATTCGGAGAGCGCCCTAGCTGTAGGGTACAAAACCCAACTTTATGCTCTCACGTCTTCCCCTTGCTTCCCTGTCCCTGTCGCTCTCTTCTTTTTCTACCGCCCAGCTATCTTTCTTCCGCATATTCTTAGTTCCCATCCCTTCTCCTCCTCCAGCAAGCTATATTATGAAGTTTGCCTCAGACGGCCTGCACGCCTAACATGGTGCGAGCGCATGCGCATACTCTCGCCGAGAGAAATCGTATTTTACAAAGACTATGCATTTAAAATGAAGAGGTTTATCATAGCATAGATTTATTGATAACATTCGATCAGTAACATCATTTAAGAAATAGGAGAAAGAATTGCATCTACGGTCCCGGCTGCCTATACCAGCCAGTACAACATATCTGGCTACGTTAGTGTGTTAGCGCATGCGCAATATCACACCGAGAGGCAGTAATATTTTGTGATGAATATGCATTTAAAATGTTAGGGGTATTTCAGCATAGGTTTCCCTAATAAATTTTATCAGTAGACATGTGTTTATAATTCGCGCAGAGCGCCCTAGCATGTAGGGTAAAACATCAACTTTATGCTCTCACGTCTTTGCCCTTGCCTCCCTGTCCCTCGCTCGCTCCTTCTTCTTCTACGCCCCAGCTATCTCTTGCCGCATTTACGTTTGTCTCCATCTCNGCTTTATTATTTGAATGACAGAGCCGTGCGTGAGTATGTGACCAGACTGTCAGCTAATTAAGGGCGTGAGCTTATATAAACTTGAATTACTCGTGGCGAGACAAATAGATCGATAGATAGAGAGATAGATAGATCGCCACACCTACCCAGGTGGCAAGATAGAATGATGAAACAGAGGTTGATGGCAACGTATTATTTGAAGACGCGTTGCAGGGCCAATAAGGTCCGATTACGCTCGTCTATGGGCCGGCACGCGAATTTTTTTTCTCCCAAACGGTATAACATAGCGAAGAATTTAGCGCCTTCTG